GGCGCGTTGTCAAGACCCTCAAAATCAACTAAGGTATCTAGAGCCTACATGTGACTTAAAGAGTTAATAACATGTTTATTAAGTGTGTCACAACTTGTGATAATCGTTTGAAAAGTTTTGAATTCAAACATCAAAGAACGACCAAGACGTTCCAAAAGTTAGCCTTTAAGCATAGTAGTGTGTTCTAGTGTTCCTTTGCATGTTTTACGTGTTGTTTGGAGTTCAAATTGATAGGGGAAAATCCTAACATCTAGATGGACGTATTTAGATTCTTAACGTCAGGGCATGACCCCCGAGGACCAGCAAAAGAGTCCTTAAGGAGGACCCAAAGGCTGGCGAGAGACTGCCTAGGCAGTGTCTAAACGACGCCCAAGAATCAACGCCCCGTACCTAGAAATCTCATAGTCTCCAGCATCCCCTGCCCTTCATAATTTTTTTTGGGAACTGGAAAGTTTCAAATTTTTAACACTATTTCTTTGTTGTTGTTTTCTTCTACCCTCCCCCCCCCCCCCTCCCCCCTCTTATTGTAGAATATGCCTCTTCTTAGATTTATATGTGATGCAATTTGAAGTGTTCTTAGAATTCAAGGTATATTGATTTATCCAAGTATCTTTTTAATGCAGTTTTAGTCAGGATATTCACTGGGTTTTTTCCTTTCTCTATTTTATTAGTCTTTATTTGTTTCTTTTTTCCCTTTTTACCTTTTTTTCTTAGCTAGTTTTTCATTTTTGAAAAGGTAAAATTTCAACAATAAATATGATGAAAGTGTATAATTTGCAGGTAATAGTAAAATAATTTTACCTTTGAGAATCACACATGGTATTTTTCACAGCTACAATTTTTTTATGCAATATATTTATTCTCTTATTTTCACATATAGGCTTTTAAATTGTATACATCATCATTTCTCTTACAAGAGTCTTTTCTTCTCCTATTTAATTTTTGGGTGATTGAAGATTAAGATCTTAGTTAGAGAAAATATTTTAATCTTAGTATGACTTAGATATTATTTTCTCTTAAGTTTGAATTTTTAATATTTTTCCTTCAAATTATATATGACTCATCACAAGTATGTTTATAATGTTATTATTGGTTCGTCTGCTTTTTTATTTTGTTAATTTATTTTCTGTTTAATAAAAATTAAATTCGAAAACTAAAAGATATTAATTATTTTTACTATTTGAATAAAGTGATATTTTTTAATGAATTCTGAAACATCATATCATCAAAAACTAACACAAACAGCTCTATATTTTATGTAAATACAATAAAATATACTCATATATAAACCCATGGGCTCAGGGGTGGATTTAGGATTTTGAGGTAGTGGGTGCCACAACGTTCAAGTAAGACAAAAGGATCAGTTGCTTTAATTTTTGGTTACAATTCGGTTTACTGATTTTTATTTTATTTTTATAAATAAAATGATTAATTACGCATGTTAGTAATAATTTATTTTAGATATTTTGATATTAGAGATGACTAAACAATTCAATTTTTATTTCCTTTTTGGAATTAGAAGTCTGAAACTTTGAGGGAAAGAAAGTTTTTTCACATTAAAATTTGAGCTTGTATATACCATCTGATAGCATTAACATAATATATTACATTGACTTTATGTGTTATTGGAGATATATAGTACAAAAAGAATAAAAATTGTAGTTTCACTCTAGTCATCTTACTTTGCAAGAACGTCAGTGAAGATGAAAAGAACCTTTAATTTATTTTAAAAAAAGATCTAATAACAATATTCATCATTTTTAAAACTTATTTTTTTAAAAAAACTATTATCTAAATATATTTTTAATAATATTTATTTGATGTTCATAATGCAGTATTCATTAGCTGATAAAAATAAACATGCGACACTCATATCAAGAGATTAATAATTAGTGCAAGAAAAAATTAAAAAAGAAAATTAAATTTAAACATGAAAAGGAGACAATTTGAACTAATAAAAAGTACTAAATAAATAAGAATGAATGGAGAAAAAAAATTAAACCCTTTACATACTAATAAAAAAGACAAAAAAGAAAAGAAGAAAAGGAGCAAGCAAACAAAATTGTTGACAGTGAGGTTTGAACCTGGGTTTGCTGCATGGCAGAGCAACTCCTTTGCCAAATGAGCTATTCCAAATTTCACTTACTAAGTGGCAAGTGATATATATTGAATTATTGTACATATTTACATATATAAACAACATTTTTTTCTAGATCACTGAGAGTCGTGGCACCCCCATTAGTCCACGTAGATCCGCCGCTGCATGGAATTATCACAAATAATTGCATTCCCTAGACAATCATATCGTATTGTCGTTAAGATTCGATGTTTATGTCTTTATAGAAAATTCAAAATGTGTAATTGAAATTTATATTTCTGATAAGTTTGTCTCGCGCCTTTGTTATTTCATGAAAGGCATTAGATACATTTATTATTATTTTTCTATCATGAATTCATAGACATATTTTATAGTCATGATTCACATATTTATGGTTTGATAGCTAATGCACCATTATATTTTATGATTTATTTTAATGAATAAAAAATAAATAGTAAAATTAATACTGTTAATTTCAATATTCATACCTTATAACTCACTTCTAAATAAATAAAAAATTGTAATGATAGTAAGTGACAAACGTGCAATGCACGTTATCAGAAACTAGTATTATTATAAGTGAGAAGCATCGAAGTACAATGTTGGGTTACAATTTTACCCCTATATTAAATAAATATATTTAATTAACAAAATATTAAATAACAATCATATCATACTGAACTTAAAATATATATTTTTACATAAAATATAAATATATTAAAAAGACTTGTTCATTAATAATCTTCTAAAGAAACTGATCCTTATCTTTTCATTTCATATATGTATTTCTTCTTGATTTTTACATTCTATTTTATTATGAGTTTGATAAAGAACATTAGAACATTATTCTTTCTGCTACATTGTGCATGTTCTTCTTTAAGTTATTTTTTATTTTGTTTCTTACTTCTTACTTATAATATAGTTTATGATGTTTAATTTATGTTTAAGATTTTGATCTTTGATGTAAAATAAAATTTGTAATTTTATGTCAATAGCTTATGAGATGATTTTCTTCGTTACATGAAAAATCAATTGATGAGATGCTTCAGTGTCGATCGCATAGAGCTATGCTTTGAGTTGTGTCAATACGAATGGGGTAAATTATATTTCCTTCTAACATAATATTTTTGTTAGCACAATTCTTTGTCTATTATTATTATTATTATTATTATTATTATTATTATTATTATTATTATTATATTTTGTCAATAGTAGGTCAAATTTATTGAATTTTTATATGCAGATTCATGGGAACAATTGGTGTGTTAAGCTAATTAAGTATTGAGTTTTGATAACAACAGTCATAACCCAATAATAAATGTAAAATGTATTTATGAGCTTAGGCATGTTGAGTGATTTGATATTCAATTCCTATTTGACTTCACTTTCTTTGTTTGAATTTAATTTTTTTAATGGAGCTTTCATCCAAAAGAAAGAAGGGAGGATAGCAATCCATATTAATTTAGTTGATTATTTTAGTTATTTGATCCATAGTTTATCCCTCCCTTTCTCATTCAGAATTTATATTACTAATCACTCACATGTCGTAATATTTTTTTATCATGTCTTTTTAATTTTCAAGTACAATTTTAACAATACAATTCCACGAAATATAAAGAAACGTCGAATTCCTTTTCTAACTAAAATATATTATAATCGCGATGAGTCATATCAAATGAAGTTCGTTTAGAATGTAATATTGATTATGATGGTAGGACAAGGGTTAATTGATGATATGAGTATATTAAGTTGGTAATTACAAATTTAATTAACTTAATTTTTTTTTTATCAAAACATAGTATCTATATAAAAACTAATAAAATTTGACAAATTTATATCAAATTTTAACTCATAAACTCAAATTAAAATCAATTTAGTACTACATAAGAATTTTCAAGATCCACATTTTAGATATTGGATGTCATTGATTTTTGAATATATTTATTATATACTGATGCAATTTTTAAAAATACTTATGCTCACTGAAAAGGGGTATACGCGCAACATGCGTGTTCAAATACTAATAATATTTAAATACAGAAAGAAATGGTAATGGGAGCATTTGTCCTATATGTACAAATTCAAATTGGCGGTAGTTTGAGGGAGAGATCAAAAGCTTTGCTTTGATTTAATAGGTAATAGAGAACAAAGATAAGTGCATTATTACTATACTCAGACTGCTTACCCCGACGAGCCTTTATTTTTCTTTTTGAGATCATAGATGTGGCATCGATTCCCCTATTGTATTTGATCAAGTTTCGTTGTCCTTGTTATAAAGAGCCGTTTTAGAATCATCAATGATTGGTGAACCGGCGGATCCATTTGCAATCCCTTTGGAAATCTTACCCGAATGATATTTCTTTCCTGTATTTCAAATATTTCGTACAATGCCTGATAAATTATTGGAGAACTACCTAACTATAGGAAAATAGTGTTCTTTCTAAGAGTAGGCGTGTAAAGCTTTTTGCGGAAAACTTGCAAGTACAGTTTGGTGAGAGGAGGCGTCGACCCTACCTTATGAGTATTCGGACTATAATAACTCTGATAAACAGTAACTCACTTTTGACAATTATACGATTCCAAAAGAGGATGTAAAATTGGGTCAGTCACGTTTCTTAGAATTCAACAAAAGAGCGAATCTACCAACAAAAGGTCATGTACGTTTCATTGTAACATCTGCTGCTACTGATGTACCTTATAGTTTGAGTTGTAACTTCTTGTTATAATATACATTCTTTCAGTATTTGCATAACACTTGGTATTATGTTAATGACATAACCGATATCTTTAAAGACCTGATTGTTCTGTAGTTATTTGTTAAACATCAAAAGTAACCATTCATTATGTTATATTCAAGAGGATTAATCCTCAAAGGATATGCTAGAATTCTATACACTGAATTGTTAACAAGCATCACTAATCTAAACAAAAATATTAGATACATATATATATCATAAATTCCAAGATGTCATAGTGCATAGTTGAGATGGGGCCGGCAGTTGTTATTTTTATAACAAGTTGAGTGAATTATTCTCCTCACTACTTCAACAATAATTGTAAGTTGCTAAATACAGATTAGTGGCCACCACAAAAACAACATTAATTATATTAGTTCATACAATACAAGAGAACAAATATTACTATGTTAATCCATTAGAGCATCCACCCTGGAATAAATCCATTAATATTATGAGCAGTTGTTGCTGCATTAACCTCATGATCATTTGCACCCATATTTGGATTGTATCTGCATGGACAGCAAATAAATTTGAGTGTATTATACATATTACCAGCATACCTATTATTCTTTTCTTGCAATCATTTTATTTTATTTTGAGACGATAATCTATTGAAAATAGTTTATTTATCCACAAATTTAAGGATTATTTATGCGGACTATCCTCTCCTCATACTACTAGAAACAAATATTTTTCTCATTGCTAATCAGTGGAAAATTTGTACTGATTTTTTTCTCTTTATTTTTCACCAAACCATAGTTCACTAATTAGGAAACACATTCTCACTGACATACTGAGAAGCTTCTAAGTTTTCCCTATGAAACAATTATTCCCTCTATCCCAATTTTTATAACTTTCTTTTTCTTTTTAATCAGTGCCAAAAAAAGGGGGAATGATAAATTAATATGCCCCAAATTATCATAAATTGTATGCAAATGCTTTTCGTTATACTTTTGAGACATTAATACCTTTTTTCGTTCAAAAACTAGAGAATATATGCTTTTTACTCTAATAGAAGACTTAATAGGGACACGTGACATAATTTTATCCGTCGATTCGATATTTAATAAATATCGAATCGGTGCATAAGATTATGACACTTGTATCTTCGTTAATATATAAAGGGTATATATATGTTCTAGTTTTTGGACGACATGAGTACCAATGTCGCAGAAGTATGACTGAGAATATCTCCATAACATATATGATAGTTCGGTGGTATATTTGTCCTGTTTCTGACATATTTCTATATTATGTAACAATTTAACTTTAAAATACTCATTTTCACTACAACAAAAATAATCATTAGCGGCAATTGTCACTCTTTGTATATGTCCGTGAAGCCTTTAACGACATTGATCCTAATGACACTTAACTAATACCGATAAAGTCTTTAGCACTCATTATTAATGTCAATATTTAATGCCGCTGAAAATTATTTTTGTTGTAGTGTTAGTACAACCACATATATATCTATTCACTTATTTTACACTATAAGTTTTAAAAGTCTTTCTTTCTTTATTAAACTTTATGTCAAGTCAAACTAAGTCATATAAAATAAGATACTTACCCGAATTGAGGCGATGAAGAATTCAAACGGAGAGGTTGAAAGAAAGGTTGTGCAGTAGTTTGTGGAGGGAGTCGATTGTATTCCATTGTTTGTCCTCCATTATTTCCCCATGACAATCCAAGTGGAATTCTAGCTGCACTTTCTTCCAGCTGATGATCACAAACAATTATTCATTAAACAAAAATACAAAATCAACTTAATTAATTAACACACATATATAGATATGTACCTTGTTTTTTAGTTGTTTATTTGCTTCTTCCAGCATTTGCTCCTAATATATTTATTTGTCAGAATTTTATGATATGCTTTTGATGAAATAAATTAATTTTGTAATGTTAAGGCAGTGTACCTTTTCTTGAAGGTCTGCCAGCTGATCCAGCATAGATTGAGTCTGATAAAGTGTGCACTTACAAATTATAAAACTAATTGTTGGAAAATGAACCTTACACCAAAACCTCTTTCTCTATCAATTTATATAACTTTGCGGCCAGTTAAAAAAATAATATATTTATATAATTTTTTAATAAAATTATTTATAGCGAGACACAATTTTATTAAATTTTATATTAAATTAAATTAACTCATGTAATATATATATATGCTTCTGTTTTTCATATGACTGCTTCCTAAGATGCTAAAGCATGAGTTATTATTACTACAAAAATTTGTGTCAAAGTTAAATTCATACGCACAAAAAGACAAAAATGACTATCGAGGCATGGCACGTTGTTAAGGACATGCCCCTATATATTGTGACTAAAGAATAGATGAACGTGACACATGCTATTAATTAAATCGTTACAATATATTTAAGTTATAGTATTTGGATATACCTTTTTTGATCTAACTTTCTTCAAAGATGCATCCAATTGGTGCTCAAGCTGCTCAAGTTCTTTCGAGTTTAGTGTGCCCAAATCCTCTCCAAGAATATGTCTATTAATTTTCACTTATTAAAAACTTATGTAAATCTAACTAAAATCATTTAATTACATCACTAATATCTTACCTTTGAGAACGTTGAAGGAGCTCAACTCTAGCTTTTAGCCTCACATACTCATTGTAGTTCATCTGTTGAAAGAGAAAAACGTCGAGAAAGACAATTAATTAATAAAATATGCTCTTGCTTAATTTTTTAAAGAGACAATCACACGATTCAATATGATATCAAAGCAGATAGAAAGATCGAACCTTACTTCCACTCATATTAAAAAAAAAATTCATGTCCATAAAAAAGAATCACGGGCACACGTGATATTTAGAAAATGATATTAGGAAAAATTGCTCTTTTGGTTCCACTATATGTGTAAATATGTCACGTATGGAACCATGTTGTACTTGAATTACGTTCCCATCTTAATTATCTTTATTTGTTAGGCTTTAGGAAAAAAAAAGGTATTAGAATAGTATTCACCAAACATAATCAAAATGTAAGTGTACGCAATCGAACTATCTTGATATATATCTTTACAAATAATATACTTACGACATGATAAAGTAGATAAACAATACCTGAGTATCACTAACCGGTAACATCGGGTCCAAAGATGCGTAACTGCATTGTTGATACTTTTCAAGTGTTGTCATCATGCTTCAACAATTTGATATAAAAGAAGAGTTATTAGTAATTTTCCCAACATGCTGCTGCTGAACTATATATAATCTCACATCAACGTAACTATAGAAATGCATCAAGAGAGGTATCTGTGATTTTGCACCACTCTACATATCACAATAATTAAAAAATGAGGTTAGACGTTCAATGCTCAAATTCGTTCATTTCATATATGCTGAGAAATTCTTTATATCATAATCATGATCCTTAAATTTATAATACAAAATTCAGGTAGCATTAAGAGTAAAATTCGAAGGAGTCCTTTTGAGTCTGTTCAAGGAGTCTTCTGCAATTACTTATAATTTATTTTAATACTCGAGTATGTGAGTATGAGAATGAGAAGAGTGTATTCATGAGTCTACATTATTATTGAGATCCTTGAGTCAAGTCGTTCATGCTCATAATTCAGCATGAATTCCATAAATTGAATATCTTTGAGATGAGTAATATCTTCGAGTTCTAAGTTTTTGAGTATTGAGTTCCTAATTTTTTTGGGATTATATTCCTATTATGGGACTACCATATGGTATAAATGAAGGTCTTTGAGTTGAGTTGTTCATGCCCAATAATTTCGCAAAGACCCTGTGAGTCGAGCATTCTTGAGATGAGTAGTATCATTGAGTTCTGGAGTTGTTGAGTTCCTATTATTGAGTTATATATATGGTTATTGAAATCCTTGAATTGAGTCGTTCACGTCCATAATTCGGAATGAACCCTATTTTGAGAAGTCTTATACAATTAGTTATAAATTGTTTTAGGACTTGAGCACTTGAGTATGAAGATGATGAGAGTCGAGTTTAATTTTTTTCAAGTGAATATCTGAGAACTAAATATTTCCAAGAGTAAATGTTTTTATATTTAAAACAAGGGAAACCTAGATTTCCAAATGAGTTTAGGGGGAGTTTTGAGCATTATCTTTTTAAGAGAATCTTTTTGGTAATTAATTCAAATCGAGGAAGGGTTTTGGTTTTAAACATATGAGCATGAGTATATATAGCAACTTAGGAAAATTTTGAGCTAAGACTTGAACCATCCTTCATAGTGAGTAAGTTTTTACTAAGAAATTTAAAATTTTCCAAAGTGTTAAGGTCACTAGATGTAGCTCGTTCAAGACATTCCTAAATTCTTCTAAGATTTGAGTTAATTTGAACGATCATAGCTCTCTTTAAAGAATGAGTTATGTGTGCCATGAGATGGAAAATGAAAGGTGTTTAAATTAGCTTTCTAACGCCACTGAATTTGCTAAATTTTGAGGTCGGATGAGTGAGATATACCTTTTTGAAGTCAGGCAGTCCAATTAAGAAAAGTTATCCGAAAATAGTAAGGGGTATTTTGGTCTTTTTCATGCTAAATCAGATTTAATTCATTTTAGAAAGTTTTTAAAGGTCTAATCCTATCATGTTAACTTTTATAATCCTAATATACGCCTAGGGTTTTAGTTGAGAGTTCAAGAAGAGAAAAAGTTCAAAGTTTCAAGCGTTCGTTGAAGAAATTCAAGATTTCGCCAAGAACCTAGTTCTTTGAGGTATGTAAGCTTCCATAGTGTTGGGTTTATTCACCCGCATGTCAATCATGAGTTTCTTCTACAAATTTATCCATAAATATTGAGCAATTGAAATTTCTTGATGAGTTCTTGAAGTTTCCTTCTCTATTAAGTTTTCATGTAAAATTCTACTTAGGTCAAGTGCAAACAACCATATCTTTTAGAATATAAAGACTTATGTAGGGAATAACCTATCCAATTAGAGGTACTTGAATCTACTTTCCAACACCACTAATTTCGCATCAATCCAATTTTTGAGTAAAAAGTTATGACTCTTTCAATAACATGATACAATGTTATTACGAATTAGCCGACGGAAAAATATTAAAAATGGTCTTTTTTATTTTGTTTGTCTCCAAGAAAACCCTAAACGGATTTCTTGGCTGAAAAAGGATCCAAACAATTAGATTTTCATCTTTTAGTCCATCATTCTTTTCTATCTCAAACCCTAAGACAAAATCCTAAGGGAAAATCAAAGTACAGGACTTTCCAATCTTTTTCAAGCTTCTTCAAAGATAGCTTTTCTCCAAGCATTTCATCTTTTTCAATTCAAATTCCTCCATACAATTATGAATCACTAGTGAAAATCAAAATGCTTGGTCATAGAGATTTTCATAAACTAATTCAAGAATCTTAAGAAAGGTTTTCTTGATTGTTTACCTTCAAGCTAGGTTTCAAGGCTTCTAATCAAGTTCTTCTTCAAGTGAAGATTTTCCAAGAACCTCGTTATTCCAGGTATGTAAGGCTATCATAGTGTTGGACTAGTTCATCCTCACATCCTACATCTACTTTCAGATCAGTAGCACAGTAGTCTAGGATACTTTCCCTATATTTGAATATTTTTTAGATAAGTTGATTTTAAGTTGAATTCATGTTTTCTTTTAAAAGTACTATTCCTAATTATCAAATTTCTATATTGTTATTGAGATTCCCCATATCATGAATCATAACTCTTAAATTCATAATTCAAATACAAATTTAAGAGAGAATTAAGAGTGGAGTCAAAGAAAGTCTTTGAGTTCAATTGTGAATCCTTTGAGATCAACTATTTAGTTAAACCGAGTTTTGAGAAAACAAGTATTAGAATGAGAAGAGTTATATACATGAGTGTCATATTGTGTTTTAGACTCTTGAGTCGAGTAGTTCATGCCCATAAATTCTGCATGAACTCCGTCAGTTGGGTATCTTTGAGAGAAGTAGTATTATCTTCAAGTTCTAAGTCCTGAGTATTGAGTTCCTAATCATTTTGGGATTATATTCCAAATCATGGGGCTACTACATGTTACCTATGAAGGTCTTTGAGTTGAGTAGTTCATGCACATAATTCTGCATTAACCCTACGAGTCGAGCAATCTTGAGATTGAGTAGTATCAGTGAGTCCTTTAGTTGAGTAATTCATGCACATTATTCTGCATTAACCTTCTGAGTCGAGCATTCTTGAAAGAAGTATTACCATTTAAGTTCTTGAGTTCTAAGATGTTGAGTCTCGAGTATTTAGTTTTAGTTATGGTTATCGAAAACTTTGAATTGAATTGTTCACGTCCATAATTCGACATAAACTTTATTTTGAGAAGTCTTTTTTTTAATTTGGTTTAAGACTGAGCACTTGAGTTGAGAAAGAACAGAGTTGAGTTCATTTTCTTTAAAATGATATATGATAACTATGTATTCCCAAGAGTAAATATTTTTACATTTAAGATGAGACGAATTTGAGATTTCCAAAAGAGTTTTGAGCAGTTTGAGTATCATCTCTTTTAAGAGAAGGATTTTGAGTAATGATCTCAAACAAAACGAGTTATATTTTTAAACATGTGAGCTAGTATATTTGTGAGTAGCATTACGCATCGATATGGAGGAGAGTTTAGATAACTTACGACCCCCATAAATCATGTAGCCAACGTGGGTAGAATGAGTCATACTTTTTAGACGATTCCTTAAATATTTTTTAGCATAGACTTGTGGATCCACTTAGTGAGTAGGTCTTATGAACTGGAAAATCATAGGACAGTTCTGACATCATGGGCGAAACGTGGTATTATCAGAAAGCTCATAGTGATGGTTGTTGGTTAGAGAAACTTTCACAGAGATATTTTGTACTTTTATATACACAAAGTTTATTTTGTATTTTCATATACAAACAAAGTTTATATTGTTCCTTACATACAAACTAATTTACTATTGAATTTTCAATACATTGAGTTGTTTTCTACCGTTTTAAAGTCTTTCCATATAATGCATTTGTATTCTTACTTTATATTGAATAGAGTACCCAGAGTTGATTACCCATAGTCGAATATCTTATTATTGAGTTGCGGCCTATTTCACTGACTTGAGTGTCTTTTCATTGAGTTGAACTATGTTTTTTATTCTTGAGTTAAAAATAGGTAAGTATGTTTCCTTTATATCAAAGTTCAAGCCTATGTTTATGTATTTGAATTCCCTTTACATGCTCGTACATTTCACGTACTAAGCCCTTTGGCCTGCATCGTTTCATGATGCAGATACATGTATTCACGGTCATCAATAGGTGCTTCATTGATACCACATGGAGTTCACATTAGCTTTGATGAGCCTCCTTACATCCGAAGGGCTCCACTTGTACTCTTAGTTATATCAGTTGTTAGGATGCCGTATGTCTCATCTGCCTTCATTTTTTTCATTTAGAGGCTTCATAGATATACATTACAGTTTGAGAAGTTTGTTTCATTTATTTTTAAAAATGTTTTAAAGACTTAAATGCCTATTTTGTGGCGAGTTGAGTATATTATTTTTATTATGTTTTAAGCTTTGTATACTTGAGTTTGCCTTCAGCTTGTAGTCAACCAGAATGAGGGTTTGGCTTGGAGATCAGCAATGGTTCTTGAGAGCCGGCCACTTCCAGGGTGTAGTCTCAAATCATAATAGTGTATATTATTGGGATTAATATTGATCACTGATTTATATGGGGGAGTGTTCAGACAATTAATAACCCCCATAAACCATGTATGCCAATATGGGTTAAGAGTCACACATTTTAGATGATTCCTTATTGCTTTTTAAGTATAGCTTAGTGAATCTACTTAGTTAAGGATGTCCTTCACTCCGACAAGGTATAAGACTGTTCTGGCAGTGTGAGAGAGATGTTATAACATCACGTTGCTCATTATGATGGTTGTTGGATTGAAAATCTCCCAAATAAGAAATTTTGGATCTTATGAGATCCTAAAGCATGTTGGTGTAGTTATATACAAGCTTAATATGTCTCCTAACATGACATGCATCTAGTTTAGGATCTTTTGATGGTTAAGAAGCATGTTGATCAAGATGATAGTCATGGCACATCAAATTGCTACATTCAAGAAATCATAGTTTCTCTAATGAAGAAACTTTGTTAACAATTTTAGATAGACAAGTTTGCAAGTTGAGGGCGAAAGATTTTCCTTTGATTAATGTATTTGGAGGAATCATCGACAGGAGGAGACGACTATTAAGAGACAAAGGAAGACATACAAAGAATGTACCAACTGTTGTTTGAGACCTTGGGTACACTTACTTAGTTTGTTCAATAATGAATAAGAGTTAACATAAGAGAATATGTATATATACCTCTAATCTTGTTAAAAATATAATTAGATTTGCGTTTTGAAGATTGACATAGTTTTGTTTACCTATTAATTAGGCCTTATTGGTGTGAAAACTCGACACTCAAGGGTATTTAGTCACAATGAACATTTGTAAACGTTTTTGAATAAAAGTGATATATAATGAACAGTGATGAACTTCATATGAGGTTTTTCCTATTTTAAAAGTGGGAGCTCATTAGGGTGATCTAAGATACATATTTCTACCAAATAATCAAAGGTATTAGTTCACTAACCCCTATAAATAGTGATATATTCAACTTCAGTATAATTTCATCCACAAAATCAAGTGGTTTGAAAGCTCGAATTGGGGATTTTTACTTTGAAGGTATATGAGTTCACTTTTAAGCTAATCATATCAAATTTAAATACTATTTATCATTTTTTGAGTGTTTAGCAATGTTAAAAAGCGCTTAAAAAAAGTTTTAAAATGCTTAAAACAAGCCAAAAACTATACATTGAGCAACCCCAACTTATATGACTTTTTTAGCTTTTAAATAATTCTGAATTGACCAATGGTAAATTTACTATTGTATCACTTATAGCTTTTGGTTATTTCAACAATGTCATCAAATAAAGCTTCATATTATTCTCTTCATTTTAGTTTATATACGTATTTAGACTGGATATAAAATTTAAGAAATATATGAGAAAACTTTGTCATGTTTTAAAGCTATCCTTAAATTGAATAAATTTTGAATAGATCGAAGAGCACATCTTTGTGAGGTTTTGGTCAAATAAATGGAACTCAATATAGATAAAATGTTGATAGTATCATTAAATATTTATCAAATATGAAAATGTATCATTATTTTTGAAATTTACTAAAGAAAAATAGCATATATATTAGAATGGAACCATGATGTTACCTTCATTATATTGCTGCCTCTTCCCTTCTCTGCCTTTGATCTTCATTATTATATCCTTTAAAATGCCTTTGCATTTATTTTTCTAGTTTTATTGTTTACAAAAGCTACATTATCTCATCGTAAACCACTGTTTTTTATTTAAATTTGCAAGACTAGATCTTGATTTTTGTGTAAAACCCTATATATAGCACCATTGATCTTGCATTTTAGTTTGAATATAAGATTTGGGCAGTCATATCTGATAAAGAAATTCTACATATATTTTATAAATAATTTTTTGCCTACTTACTCGATTAGTTTTTTATTTTATTTTTTGCAATTGTCTTATATTGTCATCTCTCTCTCTATATATATATATATCAAATATTGAATCATATATCATATATATTTATATAAAAAGAACCCTACGCCTGCCTACTTGGCGCCCCACCACAAACAAAAATTTTCTTTTAAATTAATTTATTCCAAAAACTAGTCTTTCTTTTTTATTAAAAGATGTGATTTTTATGAAAAGTTGCAACTTCAATGAAGAGTGGTGATCTTTATCAAGAGTGGTGACTTTTATCAATAGTTGTAATTTTTATGAAGAGTTGCGACATTTATGAAGAGTTACGACTTTATGAAAAGTTACGACTTTTATGAAATGTTGTTCACTTTTCGAAGTGTTGTAACTTTTTCAAATAGCTGTAACCTTTTAGACAAGACACAATAAAAATTTGTTAACACTACCCTTTGTTGTTTAAAAATAGTGATATATCCTCTCATTTTAAAAAAAAAATATGATCTTCTTCTTCTACTTTCGCAAAATTAAATATTTGTGTATTTTACTCCTATTGAGTTACATACTAACACCACTATTTTTATATGGATAAGTTGGGGAATGAAATCATTTCCATCCTTAGAGGATGTAATCTCGTTGGTATTGGAGGAGAATAATTTTCTTAAAGGAACATTGTGTATTCAGTGAACTCGATTTTTTTTATTATATTCCATTCTGTTTTTACATATCGTGGTATGCATTTTTACACTCATTAATTTATTCTTATGATATTAATTGTTGTTTTTGACTACATCTTTTGAACTCTATTGTTTATATTTCTTCAAAGTTATTGTCTCCGATTCATTGTGCAGAAAATAATTACTCTACTCAATTTCAAGAATTCATGTTTTGATATTTTATATTAAATTCTATAACCTAAAGTACTATATTAGAGCTTACATATTATCTATTATTACATAAATATGAAATTTCCCACTTATGAATTGAAGAAATTCATTATACAAGTTCAAAAATTATAATTATTTTCATGTTCAAGCACAATTTCTTTTTTTGAATATGGTAACTTAAATTTTTATTTTATTACGAAATTCCTTTTTAGAACCAATGATTTATTATTTCGTGAATAATTCATTCATTAGACGTTCTTAAGTTATGTGATAATGATTAATAATCAAATAAATGTTTGAATATTGCTAATATTTTAGGAACCAATTTTCCTCTTTCTTTTTTTTTAATGTATGGATATTAAAAAAAAATATTTGCAAGTTCAATGCAATTATTATTTATGACTGCACAAAGCGCAGACAAATTATCTAATTGGTTATATATATAAACAAAATATATCATAAATGAGTTGTATCTACATGCATTGTCATTGATTTATAGCTCTAATATATGGTTTATTACATGTATCAAATAATTAAGCATCACAAAAAATTATAACATGTTAAAATAATGTGTAATATTAAACTTTACCAATATAAAAAGAAAATAAGAAAGGAAGTTACTAAAAAGGATAGAAAACTAATTTACCAAATTCAAAAAAAGTAGGTTTTTATTTTTGTTAAATTGTTGTTATGGAGGGGGGGTTACATTTCTTAGGTATATGGAGTTTTTAATTTTTTTCTTTATAAAATATGTTATAGGAAGTAACTTTCGGTAACATATTTTATAAAATATTACCAAACAAAACTAAGTTTTGTTTGGTAATATTTGATAAAACAATTCTTATGCTTATGATATAACAAAAGTGTACGGTGAGACAGAAGATTATCTGCTGGATAATTAAGTACCTTCAAGTTTATTATTAAGTTTATATATTCTGTTACTGATTACTGCAGATATTAATATCATCTTTAATACCCTGCCTGCATAAGCAGCCTTTTCTCCCTTCTAGGGAACCAAACGAAACTTGACACATCTGATAATCAAATCTCAACAGTGTAGTGAATTGGTAACATGGAAAACCCATTAGATGAACAAATGGACACTTTTGTTTTTTTCTTTTTTGATAAAAAAAACATGAATCCACTTAAGAATCTCTACCTTGAAGAAAAAAAAAGATTGAGAATCTTTCAATAACAACATATCTATTATTATGACATAGTGATAAGATCGGCATATATTTTACATTTTCAAACGGCTAGACCTATGACTAGACTCCATTTAGAGGATTTTATTGTTGTTGATAAACCTAATGGATGTATATTCCTATAATTAAGTAATGATAATGTTTACGTGCACACTATTTTCTCATATGGCTATACGTGGGCCCACATATAAGATTTCACTGTATATGTTGTTGAAAAACCTAATAGATGGATGGATCTTCTTATACATATATATTAGTAGATCTTAGGAATGAAGATAGATGATTTATGATCTAAACAAAGATATGTACCTAAATGGAGTCCGTAGACATTCAGATCTCAAACATATATATAATTGAGGTGAGAGATGTATATATATGGTTGAGTTAATTAATGAAAGTAAGTAAACACATACGCACACACAAAAAGAAGAAAAACATATGTATATATATATATACCTGGAAGCACTTGAAAACTCATAGAGTTTTCCGCGGCTAGAGAAGATGATGAGAGCAACTTCAGCATCACAAAGTATAGATAACTCATAAGCTTTCTTAAGAAGTCCATTTCTTCTCTTAGCAAAAGTAACTTGCCTGTTTATTTTGTTCTCTATTCTCTTTAGTTCTACTCTTCCTCTTCCCATTTTTCTCTCTTTTCTTGTCTCTAACAAGAAAAACACTATTATTCCACTCTAGGTTAACACACTTTTTCTACTCTCTCTGTATGTGGACTACCAAATTTAATGGAAAGAGAGAGAAGCACTGTTATGCCCTATCTAATCGTTTGTCACTTTCATATAACCCAACTCAAATTGATAAGTCACATATAAATGTTTAAATATATATGTTTCATTTTATGTGACACATTTTTTATTTTTAAGAATTATTTTTATTTTTTGGAAACTTGTAGTTTAATATAAATCTTGAATATTTGTGTGAAGTAAGGTAACATTTTTTTGAGATCAACTAAAAAAATGATGTCATATAAAATAATACTGAGAATATAATTAAATAAATATCCGCTAGTCAATAAATAAACAATAATATAATTTAAACTGGTTATTCTTTAATTCCCTGATATGACGTAATAATCTTTTCACGTCAAATATGAATTCTTTTACAAATTTTAAGAGATGATTTTTTTTTTGAAAAACTTAAATAAAGAAATTTTTATTTTCTTAAAAAAATGTTCTATAATTAAACGCCTACTAAGTACACAAATTTGTTACGTATACTTATTAACTATTTAACAATTTAGTCAAAGCTAGTGAATCCTCATAACTCACATCTGCCTCCCCCTCATGATCTTACTAATAGCAAATAAAATAGATATATTAAGATTTTAGACTTATAGTTTCGATAATTGTGTTTTATATTTATATTTATTTGCTATTAAGATTGAGGTTTGTATATTTATGTTGGTATGCATATTTATGTCTGCTTATAAGTTTCACTTGCGAATATATAAATACGTTAAATATATATAAATTCTGTATTTATACGGTCAGAATTTTTTCAGAAATTTGTTTGTATATTTCGTTTCTCAGTATACAAACAAGACAATTTATTATCAATTTTTTTATAAATTATATACAAATAGTTAGGACAAACATACATAAAATTCTTGATTTATATAATCAAAAATAAAATTATACAAATTTTAAATTTTATACTTATAAGACGAATTGTACAAATCAATCTAATAGCAAAATTAAGTAAAACTATAAGTATCTGTACGATTAATAAAAACATATTTCTTATATTCATCAATTAGAAATATTATCTAAATTAACTTTTGTGTCAAACCTCTACCCTTCTAAAATAGCCCAATCAACTTGGTGATAGTTCTCAAACATAGACCTATTAATAATGATAGAGCAGATACTAATAAATTTCACCTGAGAACTGAACTCTAAAAAGTTATATTTTTATACACCTTAAAAAGTGTGTCTCTACATATATATGCAATTATTTATGAATGTATATTATTTATTTTATTATTATATGTATATATATAGGTGTACATGGAGTTACCCTATATGTAATAAGTGTAGGTCCTTTTTGTGGTTTTGGGTAAATTAATGTTTCACATTGATACATCGTATTACCTTTTGGACACGAACATCAACGTAATAGTACAATCGCCAGTGTTTAATTACCAACGTGTCGATGCTTCCCTTACGAGCTGTCTTTTTCTTATTAACTTGCAAATAATCCTTTATTAATATTTTAATATTCATACACTAAAAATTATAGAAAAAATAATTATACAAAATATTAATAATATTTTGACATAAATTTCATTATTCATCATTATCACATAACTCACGAATTTCTAATAAATGAATTATTGAGAAAATAATAAATTATTATTTCTTTAATCAATATTAAAATAAAAATAAAGAAGAGAATAATTGTTATGACATTTCGTAAGAAAAAGAACATATTTAAATTATACAATTGTTATGGCTCAGGGAAAAATTTAAAAATTTGTTAATAGATTAAAAAAAATAAAAGAAATTACACTTACCGATAAGTGGGAGACTTCATATATATATATATATATATATATAGATAGATAGATAGATAGATAGATAGATAGATAGATAGATAGATAAATATGTAAGAACATAAATTCTTGAAACTGAGTACAATAATTATTTTATGCATAATGAATATATTTACTTATTATATGTGTACATGTTAAATAACTTTGCAGAAACATAAATAATAGAATTTAAAACATATAAATATCATAAGCATAAATTAATGACCGTAAAAAAAATTAGGATATGTAAAAATAGAATAATAAAAAGGAAAAAAATCATGTTCACTGAATACACAGTATCTCCTAATGAAAAATAATTCTTAACTAGTACCTAAGGTTTAAAGAATTAAATCCTCTCAGGATGGGACGATTTTCTTCACAAATGTATTGATACAAAAACAATTGTCTCAGTAGTCACTCTACAAGAACAAAGTACACGAATATTTAATTGTTTAGAAGAAGAAGAAGAAATTCAGAATTTTTGTTGCTTTATAATGAGAGAAAATTCCTCTATTTATAAACAACAAAGGGTAGTGTGAACAACTGTTTATTATAACCTATTGGAAAGGTAGCAACTCTTTAAAAAAGTCACAACCCTCCGAAAAGGTTACAATCTTTCGTAAACGTCATAACCTTTCATAAAAGTGACAACCTTTCATAAAAATCGCAACTTTTTATAAAAGTTACAATTTTTCATTAAAATTACAACTTTTCATGAAAGGGGAAAACTAATTTTGGACATAATAAATTAAAAGAGAATCATGATATACTTTTTCATTTATTTTAAAATTAATATTTTGTTATAAATTTTTCAAATTCAACTTTGAGTTGGATTCAAATTTGAATAAGTGCTCCAAATTTGTTTTCAAAAGAAAAAAGTAATTGATATATCCCTCAATTTGTTATTTAGAATTGATATACTTTTTTTTATAAAATTGACTTATATCTAAATCTATTGTTATAAAAATGACTTTCCTTGGGCTAAAAAAAACTCATCTTTCTAGATAAAGTCGGTTGATTAGGGTAAAATTGTATCCCTTAGGAACCGTGCATATACCATTTTCTCCGACTGAAGTGAAACACTTATCTGTAAATCAATTTTAATTTTTTTTTACTAAAAAGAATTCATGCATGGATATATTTGTTTCTTCTCATGCATATATTTTTTATTGTAATGACCCCTCCGATCGTTATGAGTGACATAATTGTAAAAAGAAATTGGGAGAGAAATATTTTGGGTTAATGAGTTGAAAATTCAAGCTAGGCTAAGCTTTGATGAAATCTAATGCAAAATGAGGTTTAGGGCAATGCATAGAAAGGATTGAGTGAAACATCTAAGTAGAATTTGCTAAGACATTAAGGAGTTTACAAGACTTTGCGGAAGTGAATTTCGATGAATAGAACTTCCGATATCAAACTTAACATAAAAGGGTTGGTTTGGAATGTCGAGATTTGAAGGTGTATCGCGAAATAAATTTTTTTAGAGGATTTTAGAGTTTCTGCCTCATGCACACCTCTACAGTGGTCAAATAAATTCCCTCTATAACGGAAGATCTCCCAAAAACACGGCTGTTATAGCGAGATTGGGCCTCTATGGCATGGTAAGTCACACAAAACGAAAAAAAACTCCCAAAACAAACTCATTACCATTCAAGAACATTATGGGGAAGTGCAGAAGTGATATAGGACATTTTTACTTCTTTTTCATCAAAGTCATCCATAAAGGTAAAATAATTACTTCCCTAACTTTTTAATTTGATATAATGGCTCAGAATGAACGATAGTGAGGAAGGTTTGGTTTGACTTAATAGTGGAAAAATACCGATTTGAATGGAATTAATATGAAACTGGATAGCGTTTTTGGGATTGAAATATAATCCAAGTGTATTTAGTCCAATTGTGTATGCTTATGTGTTATCTAAATTGTTTATAGATCAAGAACAAGCTAGGCATCATATCAACGAGTAAAACTAAGGTTCAATAGAACATTTCAAACTTAATTTGAGGTAATTGATGATTTAGTTTGTTTTCCGTTTACGTTATATGTGCATGTTGACTGTTTTAATAGTATTTATTGTGCAATATGTTGTTAGGGAGATAAAAAGGATGAAACTGAAGCGATGTCTTGTTGTCACTTTCAAGCGATGGACATGTTCTATTTTCTTGTGTTTGCAAGTGTGATTGTATTGATTATGATTGTGTGTGGCTGTTTGTTGGTTAGGGTACCACGGTTGATATATATTTTTGGTTGGATGAGCATAAGATATCTCTTGGTTGACTTAGATACCACGCTTGATACATATTATCGATTGGCTCGGTACCATATCTGGTACGAAATATCTAGCAATTGGCTTGGGTATCATGACTAGTACATATTCTAAATTGATTGGACTAGGTACCATACCTACTATATGTGATTGTTTGTGTGTCGATTCCATCAGTGAACCATGTTGTTTTTATTGCAAAGTTTTTGAGCATATTTGTTGTTATTTTAAGTTAGGAGGAGGTGTGGTTATATTTCTTATTTATGTTTCTGATATAAATTCATGCTGCCTGGTTTTATTAAATTGTGGTTATCTGTTCATATTTCATATGATTAGAGCTGATAAATGATCCTATCACTACACGGTTGACTTTATACACTGATACTAAACTTACTTTTTCTTTTTTGAGTACATGATATATTCCAGCGGCTGGTATGACGTCAATTGTGAATGCAACACCTTTTGAATCTAAGGGGTTGTTAAATTTGACAAGATTTAAAAATGGATTAATGAGAAGACATGGTAGTTAGGAGGATAATTCTTCGTTGGTAGAAAAGTCAAAGATATCACCTTTTATAGGTGAAATTTAGCTGAACATTTTGACATATTGTGATGTCATGGATGACATCAATAGGAAGAATTCACTCCTATAAATAGATAGCTCCTAATTCATTTGTAATACACCTCTCACATGCCTTCTCATCTCCTAAGGCATTTGTTCTTCTTTCTCTCTTATATTATTTCACTTGTACTCTTTTGGAGTGAAATAAATATTGGTTGGTTGTGTCCGAGGAGTAGACAAAAGAAAAACAAAATTTTGCCGAACCTCGTTAATTCATAGTGTTCTTTTTGTTGTTGTCTCATTTACTATTTATTAGCTACCTTTAGATATAGTAGTTGTGATTCCATCACTCTC